TCGCAAAGATTAACGCAATTTCCAGCAGGAATATCATTATACCTTCTTCAAATTAAATGTAAATATAAATATGATTATTTTCTAAACTGTAAAATCCATTTTCCACGTGCGATACGTAAAAATACAATTTTCCTGTTAATTATTTGTTTCAACGGTAGGTTTTTTCACGTTAAAAATGTTCATTTCGTCGAAATAAAATTTAGATTGTTCGTTTAAAATCGTACATGGAATGGAACAGCGTATAATTCGATCATCACGATACATTTTATCACTACTATCTTTATGGAAAAATGTATCCTGATTCAGAGTATACTTCGTGCCATTTTGTTAACCTCTTGACAACAGGTCAGTCGAGTATTCAACTTCCGGCAGCGTTCTCGTGGATGAACTTTAAAGATATGCAGATCACGTCATTGCTGTTGTAAAAAAAAAAAAAAAAAGAAAAAAAATAAAAATATGCAAACTTTATGAACTCATTTACCGGGAAAGAATTTCACACATAAAGTGTAAAAAAGATTTTTATCCCCTGAAAAGAAAATTAGATCTAACTTTATATGTTACAAAAATATTAGATTCCAGGCAGATAAATGTAAAAGAGATTACCTTTTACCGTATCCCACAACGACATATTTGTTCTAACAATTCGAACAATTCGAGAAATAAAAAATAAAAAATAAAAATTAACCACATTCGTACAACATACACAATATATACAATTGTCAGTGTAATTTAAATTCCGCGATAAAAGCGTACACGTATTTGTACTTACTTGTACTCCGCTAATTTTATTTTTAATACATTTTTCAAATTTTCAAACGTGTTATTAATATCAATACAATAACTGCTAACGAAATATTAAAATATCGTTTCGACGATTATAGAATAAGAAAGTGTGCGAATACAATCGTCATTTTAACATTAATCGGTGTCGTTGAGAAAGGCCAGGTTGTAACAAAGTAACATTGTCTCTCCTTCCACATGGTCTCCCGGTGCATCTCATAGAACAGCACGAACAGCACACACGATAATCGCGTACCGCAAACGCAACAAGCGTTGCGGTTGCGAAATACAACACGGTGCGTGACAAAATCGTGGCGTATCGGTCGCGTAGGGCGCGTACAATTAGGGTGTAATTACACTTACGCAATATCCTCTCGGTTTAATTAGTCCGTGATATCGTGCCGCATATATACTTCGTACCGCTCCGTTCACGATGATTCACGATGATCCTGCGAAATCCATCGGATGATCGGTCACGCTCAACATCGATTATTCTTGGATGGAATATATGAACATGAAGTAGGAGAAACCGATTCGTATCATCTTTAATCAAAATAAAATATTGTTTTTTCGATAAAAATTGAAATTTTTCAATAACGATTGTTGATCGTACGATTGAGGAATCATTTATCGAAAAGAGAACCTCGAAAAGAGAGAAGAAGATTCTCGAGTATTTATAGTTAATATTTTTCCTTGTAATATTGAAATTATATTATTCGAATAATGGAGGCTCTTTTTCCGTAAAGTTCCTCAACTTTTATCAAATTTATTATAAAGAGCGACTCACCGACACGTACGTTTGGTCGATCACGATTATGAAATTTTTAAATCGGAAATTATACGGTGTCATGAATCTGTGCATAAGGAATAACAGCAATTTCTGAGTTTTGGCCGAGGTTGAGTACCAGTGTCCGCAATAGCTAAACGATAAATTTATAAAGAAATAGAAATATATTTTATCAAGTGAATATTTGTTTTAAAAACTTACGCCTTGAAGAACAAAGTTTCACTGATCTCGTATACTTTTTGATAGGGTAATATTATCATGTATATGATAAAAAAATATAAACTCACGAAAAAACAATACATAAATACTATTCGTAGATTGTGTGACGATAACTCGTTTCTCAACTAAAGAGATTGAATAAATTATAAGATGAACGAGTTAAAATTAAGGAAAATGTGTATAAAGTATATTTAGAAATTATAGTTACTTTCAAGAGTAAGGCAGAGACAATTAATGTTCCCCAAATTATTTGAATAATCCCACATATAACCATACTAGAATTGTATTTTTCGCAAAATCTAAAATATATACGACTATAAGCGAATTAAGTTAATTTTTCTTTTGTACGATATAAACAAAAATAGACAAGAATCACCAACTTCAAATTTCTCTTATACAAATTCACGATATACACCAATCTTTTGTAGTAAATTAAATATTTGTCAATCTTTTGACAAGTAATCTTTGGTTCGTCGAACAAATGTATGGTTAAGTATCTAACGAGAGAAAAAAATTTCTAAATAATTTTCTAAATAATTGAAAAAATGAGTCTCAAAAAAAAAAAAGCTTACCCAATCTTGTCGAATATTCCAATAATGTGCGTTAATATTATTGCGTGAAATACATCGGTACCAACCTCTATCGAAGAAATTAACAATATTGCTATATTTAAATGAATACAAATAGGATAAGAATATTTTTCACGGTCGATAAAATATTCGGTTAAAATTATTCGATTAAAATAATTCGTTCTGTTCGAGGATGAAATCTCGTAATCAACGATTTGGATCATCATCAATATAAAGACCAGAAAGTAAGAGAATACTGAAATATAGATTACTGGATATCAGGAAATTTAAATATTTGTATAACGTAAAGAAAAAATTAACAAGAAACTTACGAAAGATAATCTGACAATAATACAAACATTTCTTATACGTTCGTTTTATTAAAATCTTTTCTGTTTCCGTCAATTTGCTCAAATCGATCCTTATATAATCAAAAAATTCCTTAAACTATAATGACAAAATAAGAAAGAAAATAGAATAATTGATAAAATAATTCACAAGAATTAAAAATCGTAAAAATATCGTAATAACACACGTATTTCCTATTATTTCGGCTATTCCAAACTACAAACGCACCTTTTCGATCTTAACCCAAATATTAACATATTTTATTAATATTAATGAAACGATCAATATATTTGTAATTATCTGGTACAGTAGAGCGTAATTGATCTCATCGTTGAACAATGTGAAAATCTAGAAACATATCCAGACACTCGTTATTTAAATAATTTAATACTTAATCGATCAATTCGAATAAAAGGATCGTCTCATTTAAGAAATAAAAATAAAAATATTCTCTCTTTTAATAATACCAAATCCATTTAACCACAACTACGTATGTACAATCAACACAACAATTTAACACAAAGCACAATAATTGAAAGAAAAAAGAAAGAAAGATATTCAAAATCGTACCTGAACGAGTAAAAAAGAAATTATGCACGTAACGTACACGATCCTTTGCATCTCGTTCGCTTTTGAATATTCGTAAGGCCATACGCCAACGAGGAGCAGAAACAAGCGATAACTCTTGACGATGTTCGTCTCGTAGAAATCCATCACTGTTCTAAAGCCGAAACACGACTGCGATCGGTCGTGCGCCGTGTCTCGAAGATATAGTAAATATTTTGCCTCGAATTTCGCCTGATCCCGAGAGAACGACGATTATAATCGAGGTTCATAAGATAAATACCGGTTGCGCGATACACACGTAGTAACACCTTCGTGAAATTTCTTCGTTATTTTTCCCCGACCGGGCAATATACGGCGGGTTATTATACTTTTAGCACGAACACCAGTTGCAGGAGATTGGTACACGTGTTGGTTATTTTGTTCCAAGGTGGCGAGAAATTTTTATGAAAACACCTTTGGTATAACTTATCATAATTTTATAATATTCTTCTTCCCCTCGCGTGCGTGCGTGTTGAACCTCCCTTGTCAAATCGATTCCTACCCCCTCTCCTCCTGTGTGAAGCAATTATGTTTCTCTGTGTTTAGTTGTCACACTTGTTTGACAGGTACTGTGATGTGGATTTTTCTTTTTTTTTTTTTTTTGAAATAGTTATTGCGATGATACTCTTTTTTTTTTTT